CCGTATAGGTGTAGTACGGAATAATTGATCTCGTTCCGGACTTTTCCCTCTCCCTCTTTTTATCTCCCTCTTTGGGTCAAGACCAGACTGTGTGTCGGGGGGGGGGGGGGAGAGAGAGAGAAAGGAGAGATAAGGTGCTGTCCCTGCTCGAGTTCGCTGCATCGTGGAAAATCATGCTGAGAGCCCTCTATGTAGACATCCTCGTCGGTAGACGATGGTTTACCCTGTGGCTTTTCTGGTGCAGACGTTAAGTTGGTCATAGTTGGTTTTTAGTCAGTACCGCACTTATAACGCCACATATGTCACCTATATAATGAGGATGAGGAATGGAACGAACACGCTCTATGCCAACTGTATACGCGAAAGTCTATGTGGATAGACCCCCATTGGAATTTTAAGGAGCTCCATGGCGCCTTCCCCTTTCAAAGAGATTTGAGTGGGGGAGGCATATTTCTGTCGTGTGCACCGAAAACGTATTTCTTGCTCCGCAGGTGGAAGATATATGTATACGATGTCCGCCTGTTGTCCTGCTAATTTCTATTCGGGGTGGGATTATAGCGTTGGAACTCTTCGTTACCGGCGCGCGGTATTGCCTGCTTCTAGACGTTGTTTACACTGAGGAGTGCATTTGCGGTGCCGTGTAGGAGGAGGTCGTCGATTGGCTGAGAATATCGGGCCATCGTCGTCGGCGCCCTCATCCGACAACGGTTGTAATCTCCCGAAAGTACTGGTGGTATTCGTTTGTTTTCTTTGGGATTGGCGGTGGCTAGAAAAGGGTTAGTCAGATGCTAAAGCTACGCTGGTTGTGATAAGGATGCGATACCGAATCTTTTTCCCCAGGACTGTGGTAAATTAAAACTGTGTTGTATGTCGCGTAGAATGCGATAGTTCCGTATCGCCTCTTTTGTAGGTATTGAGGTTCGTGTTTTCGGATCGAGGAAATCTGGCCTTTTGCTCTCTTTCTTTTCTTCGCCCGTCCAACAGACTGTTTTAATATCGCTGCACCGTTTAATTTCATTTTTTTTTTCCTTTTGAAGATAACGTAAAATAAAGTTCATTCATTAATTGAAAATAACGTATTTAGGTCTCGAGGCATAGCGCGTAACTGTTAACGAGATTGCTTCTCAACGCAGGCGTTCCCAACGTTTATAGATACTTTTTCAGTTCCGTAACTCCGCCGCCGCAGGCGGCCGCCGGTTTTACCCGGGCAGTGAGATGGCGCCACAGTCGCGAGTTGCGCTGTCGCGGGCGCACGTGTTGCCGGTGTTGCTCCTCCCCGCAGTTGCTTGGCCGCGTGCGCGGCTGTCATCGCGCTTTTTTTTTCTCGTTGTTGTGACCGTGCGCGCACGTGGTTATCCTCGAAGACTTCGATCATCTGTGAATTGTGACAACCTAGCACTACCGGCCACAGGACGTCTCGGAGCTGCCAAGCTTTACGATGCCAACTTGCTTCGTGCCCGGCTGCACCAGCGGGTACAAAAGCAATCCAGAAAAGCGGCACTTTTTTGCACCGCCGTCCGATCCGCAGCTGCTTGAAAGGTGGGTGAGAGCTATTCCCCGCGCCGATAAACTTCTGAGCAAGACATGCAAAGTGTGTGACGTGCATTTTATGCAACATGACATTGTGAAGACTTACAAGCATGCCATTGACGGCCAGGTTGTTGAAATAGACCGCGGCTGTTGGGCATTACAGCCTGAAGCCGTGCCGTGTCAATTTCCGAATGTTCCAAGCTATTTGTCAAAAACAATAAAGAGGCGGCGGTCGCCTAAGGATAGGGCCAGCTTACCCAACAAAGTCGTACTTGTTGCTACGCCATCAGATGAGTACCAGCAAGAAGTTCCTGATCCCGTGCACGACATTGATTTCGCACAGATTGTCGAAAACGGCTCATCTTTAAAGCTTCCGAAAAACTGGAGAATGGCGGACCTTGAGGAGGACACTGGTAAACCTCGGCAGGTTATCTTTTACAAGGCGGGAATGAAGGACGATGTTTACGCGATCCTGAAGAGCGTCGCGATTCACGAGGACCTCACGTACGTCATCCATGCAAATGGAAGACTGTTGCGCAGCTGGGATGCAGAGATTAACATATTTTCTGCGCAAGATGTGGAAGCGATTGTACAAATTGTGCACGCAAAACAATTTTGCCGTGGTTGCCCTCTTATCGATGTCACCAACTCCAGCAGAGTGACAAAAAAAGTTGGAGGTAGGCTTCATCACAACGATTGCGCCGTTCTGACTGACGCAGATAAAGAAGTGTGTGCTGCATGTGCCAACTTGACAAAAAGTTTAAAGCGAAAGGCAACGTCCACACGATCAAAGAGAAAGGTGCCCGTGGCAGCAAGTGCGCTGAGAAAGCGGCTAATTCGTGCCACTGCCGCACGAGAGCGAAAGAAAGCAGATGTAAAGCACCTGAGTGAGAAGCTCAAGAACGCATTGACGGCGACTCTGGATGATATAATTAAAGCTAGTTTAACGAACTTCTCAGTAAACCTGCCGACAAATCTGTGCCGTGTACGTGTAATGAAATGTGTACGTCAGTTTTCGATCTATTCGTGAGGCGTTTTCCCACCGCAAAAAAAAAAAAAAGACGAATAGCAGTGTTTCATTCATCCAACAAAATTTACTAGTCGCCAAGTCCTCATGTTACGTAACCCCGAGTGCTATAAGTTTAAGATTTCTATTTCTTTTAGCGCGCTGAATTGTAAACTACTAATGTGGTCTTGATGCAATGGACACAGGAAGGCGCAGGGTGAAGCGATCACTTTGTCACTGCGCAAAACGGATGCCTGCGAAGTACGTACAGGCTTTTTTTCAAGTTCGTGAGTCATACAACGCGCACGAATTAAAGCGCGTGGCCTCTGTTAAATAGCGAGAGTAAAGACCAAGTACACTGTTCGCACAATTCTCACTCGGGCGCACGCAAAGGCTCACGCGACACCCTTCGCGCTAGCAGACGACTCTCGCTCTCCTAGCGCAAGGCGCGACTGCAGCGCTGCGGTGGCGGGTGCGGCGGCCGGCCGCCTTCTCCCTGGGCGCGGCGCGAGGAGTTGCGGAACTGAAAAAGTATCTATAAACGTTGGGCGTTCCGGCGTAGTTTTCTTGCTATTTGATTTGCCAATGGGGGTGCTCGTGCTGCGTGGACTGATGATAGCATGATTTAGTAGTGTAGTGTAGAGTCTGCTGGCTGTCAAATATCTAAATGATTTAGTAACCCTTGAACACAGATACAGATGGAGAAATAAACAATTTAGCATTGCATATGAGCGCACCTTCGTAGTCTCTTTCTTCGGAATCGCGGGTTTATCGTGGAAGTTTCGGCCGAGACATACGTGTACGCATGAGAGAGAGAGAGCGAACAAGCAGCGTCCTTTGCTTATGCTTTAGGTCCCACGTGGTCGCCTCTCTCTTCCTCCCGGCCTCCGTTTCCTGCAAACGCGAGAATTTTCGCGCCGAGGCCGCCTCGCCTACTGAAAACACTCGGGCCTGGACAGCCTGGGTGCGCCCGCCGAGTCTTTTCCTGGGACTCGAGCTCTTTGCGGCCCTCTGCCGGCGTTGCAGGATTTCCCGACGACATTGGGTGCGACTTTGATACGTAACGCGGCTACTATATCGAAAAGAAAAAAAAAAACAAATAGGAGCCAAAGCCCTTCGGGGTGCTTCGGAAATCACGTCACGCCTTCTGGTAGTCTGTATCCACGTTTCTTCGCTGTGGGTGAAGAAGTTGCGCACTGCACGCAACTCGCTTGGTTCTGCTCTATCCACTTTCGCAGTTGCGTTGAGTGGGACACGAACCAGCTGTGTGTAATAGGTAGGAAAATAGTCGCAGCATTATTTTTGGGAAAGGGGCGACGTTCAGAGCAGGTGAAAGTTTGTACGACATTTCGCTCCTTCAAACTGGTGGCGTTGCCATGGCGATGGCACGAAGGTGGCTTCGGTGATTGCAAGAACTCGAGTGAAGGCTATACTCGATCCACTGAGGTAGACACGTGGAGCTACTGTTCGAAAAAAAAACAGTAATAATAAAGACTGCACCATCCTGAGGGCAGATCCGACTCCTGGAGCCAGCTAGCTTTCGGTTATGTGGGTGTCCCGAAGAAACCTATTGAAGGAGAAGGTGACGTGATGAACGGTGACCTGTTCAATTACACTTCCAACTGGGAACCGTTGCGTAGACAATGTGTGAAATGGTGCTTTGGAGTTGGGCCAATGTGGAGAGAAAGAATGAGAGCTTTAAGCGAACGTGATCAGCGAGATCAGTCGGCGTCTGAGAGATATACCATCGTCGTTTGCTGCTTGCCTCATCCAGCTGCGAGCGCAGCCTGCCAAAAGTTGCCAGTTGGGTCAAAATACAGAAAAAAGCGGCGCCCGGAATTAATTTTGAATTGTTTACTCTCCACTACTGCTGCTGCCAGCCAGGCGCGTCGCACGATCTGCTGCGCTCCCAATCGGCGGTGCCAATCTGACTCGAAAATGAGTCCGAATAAACGAAGCCGTGCAGTGGAGGATCGCGAGGTAACTGCCTCATTTTCGCTTTGATTTCTCTCGCCGAGGAGGAGGCGAGGATTCGGATCACGGCCTCCCCTGTGCCTGTCGCCGCCGCGCACTCCGCCCAGCCTCCGAGGCAACCCAGCGATGGCATTAAAAACGGGGGAAAAGGGGGGTAAGGGGTGCGCCACCACCTCCGGCGGCTCTCGTTCTTGACGCAAAACTGGTTGAAGGCGCGCGTCACGAGAAAGGCCGACGCCGTCCGTGCCTCGGGGAAAAGAGCTGGTCCCTCGGCCGGTTCCGGAGCCCTCTTTCTCTCTCGTACTTTCCTCCACCACGTCGACCAGCACCACCACGTGTGCAGCGAGCGCGCTGCATTGCCTCGCTATCGCTCCGTCGCCGCGCTCTCCCTCGGTGCCGCGTGGCGCTTGCGTCGTCAGACGACGCGACCGTCCTCTTCTGCTGTGCGCCGGACGACAACGCGGTTGTGCTTCCTCTCCTCGGACCCTGGGCACGGATTACGCGAAACGGCGCGCGCGTCATCGAGGAAAGTCAACGTGCGTCGTTCCATGGTCGTCGGTTGAAGAGGCACACGTTCTTTTTTCAACATGAGGTGCGTATTTTGTTGCCATCATTCGTACGCTATCTCCCGTCGGGACTACGACAGCGAGCGAGAATCGCCGGCTGTCTGGTCGGGGTCGACGAACCGCCGCGCCGTGGGCCGATGGCTCTCGTAGGGCAACCTCGCCGCATACCTGCGTGCCCGCCTGCTGTACTGGTTGCAGCGGTTCCTCGATCCCTCTTTTTTAAAGGTTCTTCCTAGTTAAAGCTCTCGCGTCGCGGTGCCTACGGCGGGCCAACGCTGCCGGCTTGCGTTTTTCACGAGAGGTGATTCGAATCGCGCCGACGAGAGGCACGGAAGCTGCTTGCTGTTCGAGTTTGCATTGTTTGTCTGGAGGAAAGAAAAACACACTAGTGTGTTCGCAGCTACACTGCTGCGCGACCATTGTTTATTATTTCTGACAGAACAACGAAGTGATTTCGAACGTTAACTACAAGCCCACGCGTAGAGCGTCTGGAACTGCATTCGACGCAGTTGGCAGAGTTCGTGCGCGTTTGCACAACCCGCTTTTCGTTCGAACCTTCGCGTTCATCATCGAGACTGCCTTGGCGTGATTCATTCCGCTAGTGCGGGATGGTACAGGAACTTTCGTCGAGGGTGGTTGGGGCAGCCTCGTGTAACATATTGAAGCCACGTGGACAACGATCGAGCGGCCGCCGTCGCCCCTTGCTATTTCGCGTCTGGCAAAAACATCGCCTCTATTGTGTGCGCCGCTTTTGTTTTATTTGCTGGAAAAAAGAATCGATTGTGTTCGCCTCTCGGAACATTTTCTATAATTTTTTTTTTTCGATGAGGCTGCTGCACTTTCTGCCGATTGCTCACGCGAGCATCTGCGTCCCCTCCCCCCCTTTTTTTCTCTAATAACGTCATGCTGGTCATATTGAGTGTCAATTCGTCCTTATTGTTTCGTGGTGACTAGTGTAAGTACTTTCACATGACTCAAGTTGTATGTCGATATAGCCGAGAACGTGATAGGCGTTGTTATCGTTTCCTCCGCCTGCTGGGATAAGTAATAATGTGCCTTTTATTTCTCCTATTGAGCTGGCCTTATCGCACTGATAAATACTTCAGCGTGACTTCTCGTCACTTTCGATTGTCGGAGACTGCAACATGCATATTTCTTTTTTCTTTTTTTTTGTGGCCGATGACGATTATAAGATCCACTGCTAGCCCTCCCTGATAATTCACTGGTGATTTCGCTTGCGGGTGATAGTGTCAATCACTTATCGTTCGTTCATAAGTTCTGAGACACTACTCGGTCGCTGGTATTGCCATCGAAAACTTGCCATATGGTGCAGATAAACAACTCCGCGTGTAGCGAAGCAAGATTGCTCTTTATATTGCTTTGTTTGCCTTTCCAACACTGGCCTGAATGTACGGATACCTCCTCGGGCACATTTTACTTAGCTTGTCCTTATCTCGCTTCTCCTTGGCGTACCCGGCTCGAGGTGTGCGTTTAACGTTTCGATATTGTTGTTTTCTCTCTCTCTCTTCTCCCCGTATCGGAATTCTCACGGAAATAATCGCTGCGTTGGTTTTTTTTTTTTATCTTCCTACTTGGTCAGCTAACGCTGTCCTCGCATCGGCAGGTTTTTGCGGTCGCACGTACTACACAACGATCGCCTGTTGCTGGGCTAAAGATTTCTCTGCACCCTCCTCCCAGTCCTCCTTTCTCTTAACCCGCCCTCGTTTGTGTAACTTTGCACTCCGCGTTTTTAAGTTAGCGCTGGCGCCTCGGTTATGTGGTATGTCTAGCTTTGGCAACTGATTTTTTTTTTCTCGTAAACAAAATTTTGAGGGCCGTGACAGACTGCGTCTGAAGAGAGTCAAAGAAAGAGGCAGATCGGCCTCCGTCTCATTGCTCGTCTTTCCCAGGACTGCAGGTCCGTGATCGTACATCATCTGTGCGAACGTAGAGATGTGGGTTTTGCGACAGCTGTGTGGAACACAATGCGGATGTGTTATCGGGGTGATTTTTTTTCCCCTGACAGCTTACTTTTGCTGGCGTGTCCCGAGCCAAACAATGTTGCTGTTGCGTCGACGCTGCATGCAGCGTCAGTATCCTAGGATCGCGGAAAGATCTATAATCATCGGTGAGCACTCAGTTTCTGGAAACATTTCGCTCGCTTTTTTAATATAAGACTGTACAAGGCGTGTGATGCACGTGTTACGAAGTTTATAAAACTGGAAGCAGAAGATGACTCTCGGTGGGTTCGCGTACCTATTTTTTTTTTTCGTTTAAACAAACTGTCGCAATGTGCAGTTTGAACGTGAATCGTCGTCGTCGTTCTCGATTTCGATTGGTCGGTTGCCGCGGAAATGCAAACACGCAGCGCGGTAGCCGTATTTGCGCGGCTCATGTTCACTGTGAATAGAGTGCTTAAAATACACGAGAGGATCGTAAACGCAATATATTTTTTCCTCCTTTAACGACTGTTCAAACGTCAAAGCTGTGCTGTGACTTGATCTCCTCAATGTACTTTTTCGCCAGAACGCCTTCTTTCTCTCCTTTTCTTTCTTTTTGTTTAGCATAGGCACCGTGCAGTTGAGTTTTCCAGTGTGAGTACAGCGCCAGAACTCAATGCCTAGCGGGAAAAAAAAACGCAATAGTAGTATGGAGTCGGTCAAAATGGAACCTGATTCGTGCGTCTCCTGCGTTCCCTTTCCTTAGTCCAACGCCAGCGAACCTAGGTTGGGCTAGTGCCAGCAACGCAACTCCCTTGGTCAGTGGACGCTGCCCGTAGAGAAATGAAATAGCAATGCAACAACACATCCTCGTTGTGGTCCCAGGCGTAGATGAGGCTTGACGAAATCCTGTAAGCGGGTATTTCAAGATGAATTCGTCGCGATATCTTCAAACAATATCGCCAATCGGGAATCTTGAGGGATGTGGTAGTGGACGCATTCTGGCTGGCTCTATTGTGCTTAAATTTAGCCAATCTTGCATAAATGTAGGTATACCGCGTAGTCGATTTTCGACGCAAATTGGCATAGTACAGGCTGTTTATTTTTTTCATCATTTAGCACTGTTCGTTTTCTATAGGCTCTGGTCATCCGCGCTGTACGGGTTTTACGGTTCTACAGCTTTTACGGGTTTTCGGTAGCTTTAAATCGGCGACATTGATATAGGTCGTGTGGTCGTCAACCAGTGGGAAGCTTCGCTTAGCCCCGTATTCAGAAACGCTCCTCGACTTGAAGGCGCCTTCAATGCTGTGTTGAAGCGCGTCTGTACGTTTGTGCTGCATTGGCACCGCCTAAAGATAGCGGGTTCGGAACGGGCTTGTGCTGCGTTGAAGTCGGTGGCGAGTCGGCTCAAGTTAAGCAGCGTGTCTGAACACGGAGGGTTACCCCCGTATTCATAAACGCTATTTGGCTTGAACTTGACTTGAAACCGCCTTCAATGCAGCGCGCGTTTGAAACGTGTCTGAAATGCGTTTGAAACAGCAGCGCCAGCTCGCGTAGTGAATAAAAGAGTGAAATGTTGCAGAAGTGATGCAACTTAGACGTGGCATCGAAGTTCTAAACGCAGTACCGCTTTCCTATCAAGATAGTCCGTAATCTAAATGCGTTCTAGTGCGCGTTTTCGTGTCCTTGTTTATTCTATCTTCACTTACCGCTATCTAATGATGTCGATGGAACTGCTGACGAATAAGATAGCTAGCGCCATCTGGCCAATTCAGCAAAGCGCTGTGCCGATCGAATGACTTCTTGTCGAATCCAAATGACGTCAGTCGGTAGGGAGATAGTTGTGTGCGATTTTTTCATGGATTACTATGGATCGATCTTCTAGAACTCCGCAGGGTTCCAAATAATTAGTAGCCTTCTTCCGTTTCCGTGCCCCTACATTTCATCACGCTAAAGATTCTGGAACGTCAAGCATCGCACGCGCACAAGCACTTTGCGTCGATGAAGGCAGCCTTTGCATCAATTCCGCAGTGTGGGGGCGCTTATACGGCCAGTCGTGGCGATTTGCCTGCTTATGCAATCGAGACTCTCATTGTTCCTTTCTTTTGCAAGCGACGAGGTCGCGACATACAGAGGTCGCGATAACTGCGAGGCCGCCTTGTTTCCGCCAAGTGTGTGCCTGTGTGCGCGCAGCAAAGCAAGTTGCTGTTGCCTGTAAGTGTGTAAACGATGTCGGTGGTATACACAAATGGCGAACCAGTGCCGACTTTCCGACATCCACTATTTCGTCAACTAATAGGCGGAATGATTATCCGAAGCACAGGAATGTAGCCCTGGTTAGAATGGGCTGTTTATTTAGTTTCGTCTCTCTCTCTGTGTGAGAGAGAGAAAGTTCTTGTTTATATTTCATTCCCATCTTCGTGCTACGCTAGCCATTAAGGAAATGGTATGGTGAAGATCCTGAAGTTGACTTGGTTTAGATGTTGGTTTTGTCGTTTTATCTCCTGAACTTTCCGCATTCAGCTGCCGCTCTCCGTGGGACGTTCAGCCATTGTGTTTACCATTGCAGGTCTTTGAGATGCAGTTACTCTGTTTATGTAATCGAGAGGTTTGTTTGAGCTGATTGGCAGCTTAATCGCTTTCTTCTCAAAGCATAAGTGGCAAAGTTGACCATGAATGCTTTTCTAAATGAATATATCGGGACAGTAGCGCTCGTCATGGGCACTTTTTAAAAATGTTTTATGTAAGATGACTCGCGATTTGCCATATAGCCGTACAATATCCCGTCAGGACAGTTAGCCTAAATGGGTCTGGGGATTATCCTCCGTTGAAGTGTCACTGGTCATCCCTGTGATGTTTAAGAGACCGTAGTTCATTGGGTGTAAATGGTCGCTGGCAACGGCCCTATGGACATTCTCGGGACCTGTCGCTGCGCCTGACGTGCCTCTATTTATTCACGCCATTAATCATCGCATGGGAAGTGCTATTTACAGATGAGGGCCGAGAGTCTTACTTCTTGACTGATCCTTTTAAACCGATTTTACGCGCCGGGCTAAGTGACCTAAAAAGGTGGTGAGTGAAAATAC